TTTTATGCCTCTTTTAAACTAAGAATTGTAAATACTTTCACATCCTTAAGCCTGATTGTGACCTTTCGGTCAAGGTCAAGATCAAGGTCACCCCCCCCCCCCAAAACAACAAAAAGGAAATCTTTACTTTCTATGTTTTTACCTGATACTGGAGCTGGATGCATGTCCTTACTTTTCATTTGACCCAAGGTCAAAGGCCAAGGTCAAAGTTCAAGGTCATTTGGTGAATTGCTACATTTTACACATATATAAGGAACAAGAATGAAATCCTTAAAGTAGTTTTAGAAGGACATATTATAGATGCAAAGATATTCAGTATATGTCGAAAGGTTTTCTACAGAATCTCTGACAAAAAAAACTTTTAAAAATCAGCAAAAACTACCATACATGTTTTCAAAGAGAGAGAAGTCATTAGCAACCGAAAAAAAGAGAAAAACAAAGAAAGAAAAAATTAACTGCTTCCAGCAGGATTCGAACCCCAGACAGTGGGAAAAAGTTTGGATCGGTCATATCTTTGCAATAAATGCACGCATTAAAATATTGAATACATTTTTAGAATTCTTGTAAGACACTATATAAACCCTGTAAATCCTAAAGAAAAATATTGAAAAACAAAAAAGTTGAAAAATTAGACTTTTTGAATTCACTTCCGTTTGCGACCGGAAGTGCCGACGACGAAAAATAAAGGTCGTTCCCCATATTGGAATTTAATGTTCTATCTATTCATCGAGTTTCAATTTCATATCTTTAGCCGTTCTCGAGAAAAATTCTGGACAAAATGCCATTTAAAAAATACAAATTTCCCCAGAAATCGCGAACAGAAGTGAATTTTGACAAAATGAAAAAACACGTCTGGAGATATTTACATGATGCATCTTCTCTGAAAAAATCTCTGAAATCTGCTTACTCACAGCTGAGATATCGCCATAACTATGAAAAAAAGAATAATAACAATAATAATAAGAAAACAGACGGAAAACAATAAGGTCTTCCGAAGGAAGTCGGAAGACCTTAAAAAGACTTTCCGATCTGGTCTGAAGAAATAAAGTTCATTATAATTCTACAGATTTGATTCTGTCTTTTTTAGATTTATACTGTGATTGTGATTTACTCACATCAGACACAGCTAATTCCCCAAATAATCACGAAGGTGAAAACCTGAGGTCGATACTAGCATTATAGTTCAAAAAAGAGAAATATAAAAATCTCCAAGGATAGAGAGACTGCACTAGGTAATAAGTGCGATAAAATTTCAAGAAATAGAAGAATTCAAGACGAAACAAATAATTAAAATATGAGGGTGGGTAGATGACCTGCTAGTCTTCGCTGCATCACGGGGGTGGGGGTGGGGGTGGGGGGTGGGGCGAAGTTTAGAGGAATAGAAAGTTGCAGAAATGCTCAGCTATAACAGATATATCACTATTATTCACCTTGTGTCTGCAGTATACAAACTGTGACCTTATGTCACACATATTGAAGAGTGTCCTTTTCTTGGACGTGGAGTGTGTGTATTGCAGATGGTTGTAACCCTAGTGAAAGCAATAGGTGGGTTGAATGCACAATCTGTGCGCACTGGGTGCATGATATCTGCATGGGAATTGACGAAAAAGATTAAAGAAGTGTTGATTTTCCATATGGGTGTGATTTATTAAGATATGGTTTAGTGCCAATAAAAAGGTAGTGCATATACAGACACTTCAGAATGCATATACTTTTGTGTCTATTTTATACTATGTATCATCTTTTACTGGATGAAATTTACCCATGCACCATAGTAAACGACACAAAAACCATTTTTGTATTTAGCTTACTCAGGGTTCTCAATAATTCTCAAAGCAGCAGGTGAAAGAAAAATATCAGAAAAAAATCTCATTTTTACTATATAATCAAAAGATTCCAAGCTAGCTCCAGAACCTGGAGCCATATATTTCATAATTCTGGTTGAGGCTAAATCCTTATTACAATCATGACAACAGTTTGATTGCTTAACAATCCAGAAGGAAAGGTTTTCAAGATTACATTTGTCCTACCCATGCGGCCCCGGGGGCATAAATTTCACAGTTTATGTTTACCTTATCCATAGATGTTGCATGGCAAAATTGGTTGAAATAAGTTCAGTGGTTCCAAAGAAGAAAGAAGCTGCAAATGTTTTAAATGTTAACATACGACCATGGACAAAATCAGTTAGCATTAGGTCACGTAAGTGACTTAGATGACCAAAAAAATCAAGATTTCAAAATGCAGTGACCAATTTACTTTTGCGAGAAGCACTGACTTTTACAATCGACGGCTTATTTTTACACTAGCACAATAAAGGGAAGCTCTTTTGCGATATAAATATTAAGCTAACAGTTAATGAGGCGATAATTATGCTATTTCAAGGCACATATTACGTTGTCTAGGAAGGGAACGGTAACCACCTTATCCTCAACCCCCTCCCTTCCCACACTGACCAACTCTTGCTTAGTTTTCCTTCCGGAATTTTTTCTTCCTTATTTGATTCCTTAAGAAAATGAGATCAAAAAGCGATATTACCCCTCACGAATAAGGTAATTTAAGTTATGTAAATCTGCCTCCCATCATCTCTTGCGTTGATTGCATATTAGTAAATCATATTAGTGCCCCTAACACCATACCTATAACCACTATTTGTCTGACGTCATGGCGTCAGACAGAACTGGATTTAGCCAAGGCTTGGTCAAATCATTCAATAAATGATTTATGCAAATAAATCATTTATATATGTTGCCTTGTGTTTACTTTCATAATGCGCATAGCGGTGACTCCGGGTGGTATTTATAGCACTCAAATTTGCATATTTACTGAATGCGCATGCGCAATCTTAATTTAATAGTTCGTAAACAAAGGCAACTTTGAGTCTAGAAGGTTTTCGAAGATAACTTGTAAATAATCTATATTTGATAGGTCTTTCCATCGACAAAATATGTAACAACGACTTGTGCAACGACTTATAGTTAAAGTGTTCTATTGTAGTGTGTTTTCATAGTAAAATCGATAGCGTCACTTGGGAAAATTTCATCTTGTGTAACTGCGGGGAAAAATGGCGAACTGACCCAGGTCCAGAATCTGTTTTGATAGCATGGCTGCTCCAAATTCGTTACTTGTTTGTTTTGGATTATACATAAGCTAGACTCATTTGATCGAAAGAACAAGGTAAGTGATACCATATTTTCTAATTAGAGCGATCTGTACGTATTACGTAATTGGAGCCTCTCTCTCTTATTATGTACATTTCGTAATGTCACATTGTGCATAGGCGATTCGCATGTGAAGAGACTAAAATACTATCTCGGCGCACACGCAGCCATGTTAAGGCTGTCCGAAGGCTTAATATGCATTAGATATATACTATTTTATTTTGAGCTATGTTTTGATTTCAATTTGTACTCTATGTATACCTACACGGTTACGTTGTAAAGAGTTGAATAAGGTATTATAAAAAGGCATTTTTGTGATATCACATGACTGTGTTGATCACGTGACGGACACATAAATTTTCTTAAATGTTGCACAAAAATCGCATCGGCACAAGTGAAAAACAATGTTATTGTAAACGGCTTGTTACATAAATCAATTAAACGTATTCTTGGGTATATATAAAGTGCTGGGGGTAAGTCTGAATTTTACTTCTTAAGAAAATATTTCACGAGAAATTCAACTTACCCACATACAAGGGGTCATTTTCCACTCTTCATCGCAATTTATACAAAATGGGATAAAATACATACAATCCCCCAGCAAAATTCAGTTAGAGGACATATTTCTCTAGTAGATTCACACAGAATATCTTCAATTAATCCTTATTATTCACTTGTGCCAGTCTAATATATCTACGATTTATAAATTCTACTTCTATCTACGGACGTGTAAGGGGGAACATTTCACATTCATTTTTTGTAATTGTTTGAATACGTACATGTTAGACAAGAAAAAGGAATAACGATATTATACTGCAAATATTTACCATCATAACAGCCTCAAAACAACAATCCAGACACATGAATTAAACATCAACGTAAAGAAATTCTACATGTGATGTGAAAGGAATGTAAAAATTATGATACTTCCCCGTCATGTCTGCTCAAATTTGCAGTGACTTGACGTCATATGCCATTATGACGTCATATCTATGTAGTTCAGAGAAGTTACTACGGATGGTACACTGTGACTTTCTTCGGACAGCCTTATCCTAGCCGCGCACCATTCGAGTGCGTCAGCGTACAATATTGCTGGCCTGAGCTCAGTTAAATACTTTGGTATTGGCGGAGGATTAGTAGCGTGTGATCGCCACTTAGCTTTGTTTACTTCTGCCGTGAGACACTATAAACCACACCATCTTATAGTTTGTCTACGGGGTAACGATTTGGATGTAGTTGATTCGGATTGGAGTGCAGAATGTGTTATTGCGAAGCTTGTCACATTTTTGACACAATTAAGGAACCGATTTCATTTAAAAACTGTCACTGTTCTGAGTTGTTTTCCGAGGCAAAGAACTAGGACTATTCCACCTGAGAATTATAAGTTAGGAGTCATTGAAACCAACAGTTTTTACAGGAATTTTGTAAAAATCATCAGCTGACTTCCTGAAAATGAAGAGGATTCCCTGAGAGTAAACAACAGATTCTTTGTGATGGAGTTCACCTAAACAATTACGACTACCAAAAACTGATAAGACAACTGAGGGGAATTCTCCTTTCTCATCATCGTTCAAGTAAATGTTAATTCCTGTATTTTACGGTTATAAGTCAGGGGCTTCTAACATAGATTTATAATTTATTTTCATAAATGTTTGACAATAATTTGTATACATACTATCTATTATACCATTAATATGTTGTAAAATTACTTAACAACTATAGTTGTACAATGAGATAAAACTTGATGCTGATACATGTATGCTAATTGTATTATCTGACATTCTCTTTCAACATTTGATCGTCAAAAAGTGCTGTAGGTGTCATAACAGTATTACGTTCAAGGTCAAAACATGGCCGACCCAAAATAATTCCTGAGTTTTTCCCTTGATTGCAGGACTTTAGCAGAGAGGTAGGTGCCAAGATTTTTTTCTGAGATGTAAAACAATATATTCTTTTCCAGTAAAAATAGAAGGAAAAAATAAATGAGACCAATTTATATTTTTTCTAAATTTTATTTCAGGATAGAGTGATGAGGCCAAACACATGGCTTTCAAGCACCTAATTGACTTTGATGTAAACAAACTTGAACGCCTTGCTGGATGGGTATGTATTTTTTTGTACTGCAATGTTAAGTAACAGTAGTACTTCAAGATGTGAAAGTAAAACATCTGAGAAGTTTGTTTTGAATGAGTGAGGCCATACTAAATGTGAGTAATTTTGGTAAAAATATACAGTAGAATTTAATACTGTTGTGCAACCTGCAGCGAGGGCATTTGGAAGGTAAGTGTTTATATTTACATGAAACTTACATGTTAATTTTAGCTTATATGGGGAGTCTGGGTCCTTAAGGGGATTTTTTTTTATCTACATCATGGATGCTGACTGGTGGCGGGAAAATTAGAGATTTTGCTTGAAAAAATTGATACGGGTAGGGTGAATGGGTTGGGGTGCAATTTTTTTTATGGTAATTTAGCTACAAATAGAAGACAGAGGGGAAATAATATAGGGCCAACATACGGGAGGGTAAAAATCACATTTCCAGACAAAACGAGAAAAGTCCTATTAGCACACAGATTCATGTACATGCTTCATACAAACACATTACATATTCCACATGATAAGCACATCTCGCACATATGTCACAATAGTCTTTGCATTAATCTATTACACTTACGTCTAGAAGACGCAGCAGTTGATAACGATAGACAACTATGTAAAAAGTTCATTCCTAAAGTCTGTTTAAAGCATGCGGGCCATCCTGATTGTCTCTTTGAGAACTTAAGGTAAGTCATTTCTTTGTTTTGCTGTAAGAATCTTCACTTCTCTTCGGTAAGGGGGGGATCACTCATCCTCTTCACGTATCCGACATTGGTATCAGTCCCTCTTTGAAATACATGTTAATTTTTCTCTCACGTTCTCAAGTCTCTTTTTACGGTATGTCACAGACTTTTTTCGTAATTTGTCAGATAGGTATTTTTCTGGTCTCTTTTGCAGTTGACGGGTCACATGTGTGTTTGACGGCAATGGAGCTCCAAGGGCAGCACACTTCATGGAAGTGGTCCATGATTCATCCTGTGTATGGCGGAGTAGATCACGGAACATGTAGCATTCTTTGGATTTGACCTCGAATAACCTCTGTGGTGTGCCTCGGATTTCTGAGTGTTGGTCCCATACCTGGTAGAGGTAAGTGTATTCCTGTTAAAGCGGAAGTTCACTAGCTGACGTAGGGTCTCCTGGTCTTCTTCTGTAGGTTGTAGCTTCCTTGCATGGGGTGGGAGAAACTCTTTGGGCCAACACTTTTCAGGTAGGCCTCTACATACTAGTGAGTGGCTGGCACAGGTCCTTCCACATTTGCCCGAGTAGCAATTGACGATAGCAACCGTTGCATAGCTTAGAACATTGAACAGCTTCTCTGTGTCCCCTGGGAATTTTTTCAGTGCGTGATCGTACTCGGCTGTACACCTCTTCATCAGGTCGACGGGGAACTTTCTCTTTGTAGCTTGTCTGTCTGCAGCTGTTCTACCTGGAAACATTCTTTGACTAAACTTTGCAGCATCAATTGCTTTTTTCTGTGACTGGGCGAGGTGACGAGTATCCCGTACGGCCTCCACGGTCTGTCCATGCTCTTTCATTGCCTTCTGCACTCCACGGTAGGCTGCATTGTCTCCATCAGAGGTGATCTGGCCTATGTACTAGTAGGTAGGCTCTGGGCCACTTAGGAACTCTCGGCAGATTTCCTCTGTGGCCAAGTCCTCTCTACCCCTGGGCTGGTCCATCATTAAGGTGGCAGTACACTTCCCGGGATGATCCAGATACTTGGTTCCTTGGCTTCGTTTATGATGGAGTTTGTTTTTTGTGACCACTCCAATAATTTTTTTGCTTGGTGTAACATCTTCGGAAATGGTATATGTACTTTGTGTTGTAGGTTGAAATGGGTTTCTGTCTCTGGACCAGTAGAGGGGATTGTTGTAGCGTCCGTCACCTTCCACGGGAATCGGAGTTTGACGTGGAAATCCGTAGCTCTCCAGTACATCTTTGAGGTGAGTCATTTGCCTTTGTAGATCTTCTCTAACCATGTTTATAATCCTGGATCCTACCTTGTTAGCATTGTACTGCAAACCACTATAAGATGGTGCTTGGCAGTTGAGGGCCAGGAACACTTCCTGTAGTGTAGTTCCCATAATGGGGTTGTCCATCAGGGCTGTCCATAGGGTAATGTTTGGTTTAGCTGTATTAGGTCCTCTCAGTCCAGTTTCTATCTCCCCATACAGTTTCGTGCTCTCGGTGCGGAGTGTACAGTACATGCACCTCAAAGTCTCCTTCCAGCATACCCCTTTTTGTTTTTCGGCCTGGTAGTCAAACTGCAAGTTGGTAGGGCAGTTTGGGCTAACTTCATTATGAAGATGGAATGCTTTGTTGAACATGTCGCATGTCTTCCCTGCATCTAATAAGTCGGTGTTATATTCTGGGCCAGGAGTAGAATTTGCATGAAGCATGTTGCCTTCGGCCGGAGTTGCATGATAGGCTGTTGAGGGTTTAGTTGGTAAGCATTGTCTCTTAAAATGCACTCTCCAGTCTTGCTGATTTTGGCAGATACGTGCCCCCCTCACATAATTAGGCTTTCGTTTCTTCCATCCACTGAGGGGGGACCCCCTTTTACGGCCATCTTGGACTTTGAAAGGACCTCGTTTACTCTGACTTTTTTCCTTCATTTTTCGGTCTGACTGCTCTAATATTGTTTTGATTTCTCTCTTTCTTTACTCAATAAACTAATGATTAAGTTTTAAGGCAACTGAGTGCCAACTTCTTAAGAAGTAGCCATGACTAATTCTTATTGCTTCAGCCTCTAATGGCAGTCAGAGCTGGCAGCACCATAGCCAATCGGGCTGTCATGGCTGATAAATGTAGCAGATCCTAAAGTGCTTGCAGTGTAGTGACAGACAAGGTAGTTCTCCGTGGAAACAACATTGTTTCAGTTGTAAGTAATAACACTTGTTTTTTGATTTGATGAGTTTATTTAATAAAAATCATCATATTTAAGCAATTTTTTCACAAAAATTGTCCAAAAACTCAAAAGCACACATCAGAGAATCATACATAACACACTTATACATAAGTTCAGTATTTCAACATTACTAGGTAAAACTTTCATTCTCATTGATTGAGGAAAAATAATTAAAAATCTTAATTTACAGTACATGTGAAATCCTGATGATACACACATTTATCAGGTAAACAGAGACTTTTTTCATTTGGCCTAAACTGCTTTATTAGCATGAAATATAAAAAATCAAATATGCCATCACATACACAAATCTATGAACTTATTATTCAGGTAATAAATATTTTTTTTAAAAAATTAATTTTTATTGCAGCCATTTGCAGGTGTCATAACAGTATTACACTCAAGGTTCACGTCAAAACATGGCCGACCCAAAATAATTCCCGAGTTTTCCCCTTGATTACAGGACTTTAGCAGAGAGGTAGGTGCCCAGATTTTTTCTGAGATGTGAAACAATATATTCTTTTCCAGAAAAAATAGAAGAAAAAAATAAATGAGACCAATGTATATTTTTTTAAAATTTTATTTCAGGATTGAGTGATGAGGCCAAACACATGGCTTTCAAGCACCTAATTGACTTTGATGTGAACAAACTTGAACGCCTTCTTGCTGGATGGGTATGTATCTTCTTGTACTGAAATGTTAAGTAACAGTAGTACTACAAGATGTGAAAGTAAAACATCTGAGAAATTTGTTCTGAATGAGTGAGGCCATACTAAAGGTGGGTAATTTTGGAAAGAATATATAGCAGAATTTAAGGTCAGACGATACGTTCCTCAAATGTCTGTTTTGTATTCCTTCGAATTATGTGGAAAATATTCAAAATCTTAATTACCTTCTGATTTCTAAACTGGTTTCTAATTGTCTTTTAAAAAATGAAACAACAAAAAATGTGTTATTGGCTAAGTAAGTTTTTTTTCCAAAAGGATTTTATAGGAAAAACATCCTCTGGTATCTTGCACAAATGCCTGGTAAGGTACCTCAAGTTTTTTCGAGTGAACATGTTAAAGTTGCAATACTTCAATGACAAAATCTTAGAAAAAATAATATATTATTGAGGAACGTATCGTCTGTCCTTAATACTGTTGTGCAACCTGCAGTTGTCTACTAGAACATTCTTTATTTGAATATTTGGCTTGAAACAGGTAATTCCTAACTCAGTTATTTATGTTGAACATACATACATTGGGCTCATTGCATACAAACTTTATAATATAGCTAGTGTAATGGATATGCCCTGAATATACCCAATAGCTATGACCCAATAATTTTCATGCTTGTGTGACCGTGTGAAATGAACAGGTTTTGAGTGACAAATATTTCTTTGATATAGTGCTAATAATAACATAATTATAGACCTTGACCGCAGTTTGATGCCACCTGTACCTAAATGAACATACTAATCATTATTCAATTATATCAATTATGTCTTTCTGTTTAGAGTAACTCATCATTTTAATTGTCTATTTCATTGTTTTTATAAATTGGTTGTTTTATACAAGATCTACAGTTGGAAACAGGACCTTGCACTGTCCACGCCGACACTCAGATCGTAAAGAAAACGCAAAGTTTTGGATCGTAATAAATTATTAAACGAATTACCGACTTGTGTACTTCTACCGGTCATATTTGGTGGAGAATCCTAAGGGTAATTTACCCAGGGCTACTGCATATATTTTGTAGTAGTTAGATCCCAGTACTTTCGTTACAGCTAAGCGAGTTTGCCATCCTTTATACCAGAATTCCCTAACCATGAATATTTTACCGTTTGCTCCTGCGTGGATGCAACCCGTCCGACCGCGCTTCACCTTGCAACGATGTGAACGCTGCGGATTAAGGCATGGGTGGTTCGCATGCAACACATGGACGTCAACATGTCTCAAGTGTGGAAGAAGATGACACTATGCACGGATGTGTAGGACACGGAATCCCCAATCCATCTGCGCTCTCTCTTCTATACCGACACGTTCCATCGAAACACAGACGGACGAAACTTGTACGGTGCGAAGAAAATCAAAAAGAAAGCAGATCAGAGACAGAGAATCATCAAGTTTCGGACAACCCGTAAAGAAAAATCATGTTTACGTGAAATGCCCTTCTCTTTAGTAAGTGTGATTGAAATTCATACTGAAACATTGGAATCTCAAGTTAAAAAATTCAGGGAACAGGCAGCATTGCACAAATCAGAGGCCCAGTATTATCAAAACAAATGGTTGCGTGAGCGGCAAGTGTCTTTAACTCGATTGTTAGAAAAAGAAAGAACTATCAGAGAACTTCAGGAAAAACTTGTAGCTGCAACAAATGAGCTTCAGGAGTCGAGGAAAGCTATTTCTGACTTTGAGCGTGTAAGCAAAGACAAACAAGATCAGATTAATTCTCTGATCGAGCAAAACAAACAAGCTGAACAGTTTCTTTCCTCAAGGAAGGCAATTTACAATGGTCCGCCCCGTGGAGCTCGAAACCAGCATCCATGAAATTCAAATATTGCCAGAAGAGCTCCCAACAACACTAGACAAACTTGGAAACACGAGGACGTGTTTTGGAGGGCAAAGGGGTACTGTGACCGCGTGAAATGAACAGGTTTTGAGTGACATTTCTTTGATATAGTGCTAATAATAACATAATTATAGACCTTGACCGCAATTTGATGCCACCTGTACCTGAATGAACATACTATTTATTATTCAATTATATCAATTAAGTCAATTATGTCCTTCTGTTTAGAGTAACTCGTCATTTTAATTGTCTGTTTCATTGTTGTTATAAATTGGAAACTGGACCTTGCACTATCCACGCCGACACTCAGATCGTGTAGAAAACGCCAAGTTTTGGATCGTAATAAATTATTAAACGAATTACCGACTTATGTTTTTCTACCGGTCATGTTATTATTACGGTGTAAATTTTGATAAAAAACAATTTCAGTGGCATGTTTTAACTATCTTTGAAATATACTTTTAATCTATTGTAATTACATAAACAATGAAACATTGTTTCATTGTTTCCGGAAAGTTTTACACTTATTTTCCCC